ACCACTTTCAGGCTGATGGCTGCAGAACAACTTCTCCCTTCCCGAGCTACAGTGCTTCATCTCAGACTCCCAACTGACCAGAGATGCAGCACTGCACCTCAGGCTGGGAGACAGGGCGCTGTGCTGCTCCCCTCTGGCGACTAGTGGTGAGCTCCAGCCTGGCAGGAGATGGAGATTAGAGGGGAACCTGGGCCCTGCCGCTAAGGCTCATCCCAAGATGGCGGTGACTATCCCCAGCTTTGTTTCCTGTGTGTTGCCTGCTGTTTGACCTCGACCTTCTGTTTTTTTCTTTTTTAACAGCTTTCTTTAGATAGGATCTACCCATTTAATGTGAACAACCAGGTGATTTTTAATACATTCATAAAGTTGTGCAACTGTTGCCAAATTAATTTTAGAGTATTTTGCCACCCCTCAAAAGAAGCCCCTTATTCTTAGCCAATCCCTAGCCCTGGGCAGATCACCTTCTGTCTCTATAGAGCTGCCTAATCTGCACATTTCAATGAATGGGATCATCCAATATGTTGCATCCTTATACTTGGTGCATCCCAGCCAAATAGCTCCATTTGTGGTCCTTGATATTTTAGACTTGCTGTCTCCCTTCTCGGTTTTTTGTTTGTTTGTTTAATAGAGTCTCACTTTGTCAACCTGGGGTTGAGTGCCATGATATCATCGTAGGTCACAGCAACCTCAGACTCTTGGACACAAGTGAACCTCATGCTTCAAGCTTCCCGAATAGCTGGGACTACAGGAGCCTGCCACAATGCCTGGCTAATTCTTCTATTTAGTAGAGATGGGGTCTCACTCTTGCTCAGGTTGGTCTTGAACTCCTGAGCTTAAGGGGCCCTCCTGCTTCAGCCTCCCAGAGTGCTAGGATTACAGGCCTGAGCAACCATGCCCAGCCCTGTCTCCCTTGTTCACTCCTCCCCTCTTCCCACCTGTCCTCTTAGAGAGATTTTTTTTTTTTTTTTGAGACATAGTCTCAAGCTGTTGCCCTGGGTAGAGTGCTATGGCATCATAGCTTATAGCAACCTCAAACTCTTGGGCTTAAGTGCTTCTTTTGCATTAGCTTCCTAAATGGCTAGGACTACAGGCGCCCACCACAACGTGGCTCTAATGGAATGACCATGTAGATCATTCATTTTCTTTTTTGGGCTTGGCTTGTGTGGGAACTTGCAGGTGGGCATTTTGTTGTTGTTGTTGCAGTTGTCATTGTTGTTTTAACTGGGTTGAACCCACCAGTCTTCGTGTCTGTGGCCAGCACCCTACCCACTGAGTTACAGGCACTGCCCACTCTCAGAATGATTTTGGAAAATGCAAATGTGGGATTGGCGCCTGTGGCTCAAGTGGCTAAGGCGCCAGCCACATACACCTAAGGTGGCGGGTTCGAATCCAGCCTGGCCCACCAAACAACAATGATGGCTGCAACAACAACGACAAAAAATAGCCAGGCATTGTGGTGGGTGCCTGTGGTCCCAGCTACTTGGGAGGTGGAGGCAGGAGACTCCTGAGCCCAGGAGTTGGAAGTTGCTGTGAGCTATGATGCCATGGCACACCTTACCCAGGGCGACAGCTTGAGGCTCTGTCTCAAAAAAAAAAAAAAAGAAGAAAAAGAAAATGCAAATGTGATCATATCTTTCCTCACTGTAAATTCTCAAAAAGGCCCCCTATTGTCCTCAGGCTAAGTTCTGAAGCTCTCCCAGAAGGCTAAAGCTTGCAGACCAAGGCCACCTGAATCTTCTTCCTTATGGGCTCTGGCTATAGATGTCCTTTCATTACCCCAGGGAGCCCGAGTCTGCCCATCCCAGGCGCTCAGGGGCTATGTCACTCCCTGGTCCTTCTCTGTCCCCCCTCTCTCCCACCTTCTCCTCTTCATAAACTTAGTCTCATCTACCTCTCTGTTCAGGTGACTGGTGTAGGAGGCTCTCCTTGATTTCTATAGCTATCAGGGCACTCGGCTTCTCATTCTCACTCATCCTGTGTCCTCCTTCTAATCCCTTATCACATTTGTGATGTAGTTGTCATTTGTGACACCTTTACTCATGGACCGTATGGCCCACCCATGAGGAATGGTATCCTGTCACCTACACTGACCACTGAAATCAGGACCAGGTAGTGTATAGCACAAATAAGCATTAGTCAAATGGCTGGATCCTGTTTCTTTGGTCTCATTATTTCTAGTATCAGAATTATTTCTGTGTGGGTCTGACCTGGCTATAACTTTGGGTTTCTGAGGGTAGTGCTCATGCCTGATTGATTTGGGGGATACTGGCTCTTGCTGATGTGGCTTTGTAGATGATGATGGACCCCAGGGAATGCCGTTTGGTGGCTAAATGAAGCACCGTGTTGATCATTCATTTTCTTCTCTGGGTTTGGCTTGGATGGGAACTTGCAGGTGAGCAAGCAAAGCCTCCCTCCCTCCCCCACTCCTCCTGTCCTTTCCAAGATCTCAGAAGACCTCAGAAGACCTTCCTACTTTGCTTAAGGGTCACTGTGGTGGCCTCCATGCCAGATGATGTATATTTTCAGGAGTGTCGGAAGTGGGCAGGCAGCTTTTCCTCAGCGCTGGGAGAGAGCAGAAAAAACACATGCTTCCTTAAAAGAGAAAATAAAAAACTGCCTCCTACACCTCTGGCAGAAATTTGAAACCAATCCTGGAAGAGTAGAAAGAGTATTTTCCTCTGGTCTGTCACTTGGGGGAGGTTAGTTTTGCCAAAGGGGGACAGCCCCTTCCGAGGTATCCCCAGCCACAGAGCTGCCTTCCTCCGGTTTGGAATTCTCTTGCAGGTCTCTTTTCAAACTGCCTTTGGCTAGGGAGTGATTCCAACAGTGGGCCTCACTTGGGGGTCGCAGATAGCCTGCCTGCTCCACTTTCCCAGGGCTTCAGTGGGCCCTGGGAAGGAGCGTCCCCAGCCTGCTCCATAGGTGGTTTCAGTAGGAAGCCAGGGAGAGTAGCCTGGAAGTGAGGTGCTGCGGGAACTGGGCTGATGGAGTGTCTGCTGCCTTCACTTGGTGGGAGACTGTTTCCAAAGCCCTTTCGCCTAAAGACTGTGGGATGAGTGAGCTCACTTAGGAGCACAGTGACTCAGGTTGTTCGCTCAACTGCTTTTGGTCTTTCTATTTACCAGGGGAAGAAAGCCTCCATGTGGTGCTATCCTGTCCCTGAGCCTTTCTAACTCCTGCTTACTGCCCAGGCCCAGGGCCTTGCAAGCCACAGTGTCAGGGTAAAGTGTAACTGTGTGGTTTCATTGTTAGTGTAATTATTGTTACCTTTATCTCCTAATTATGGACAGCATTATGGATTTCCATTCACTGTAGCTTTTTTTTTTTGAGACAGAGTCTCACTATGTGGCCCTCAGTAGAGTTCTATGGTGTCACAGCTCACAGAAACCGCAAACTCTTGGGCTCAAGAGATTGTCTTGCCTCAGCCTCCCAAGTAGCTGGGACTTCAGGTGCCCACCACAACACCCAGCTATTTTTTGTTGTTGTTGGGGTTGTCATTGTTGTTTAGCAGGCCCAGGCTAGGTTCGAGGCCAGCCTTGGTGTATGTGGCCGGTGCCCTAACCACTGTGTTATGGCTGCCAAGCCCACACTAGCTTTTTCTATTTAAGTATTAAAAAAGGATTCATCTTACATTTAAAAATATCATGATTATGGGTGGTGCCTGTGGCTTAGTGGGTAGGGCGATGGTCCCATATACTGAGGGTGGTGGGTTCAAGCCTGCCTCAGCCAAACTGCAACGAAAAAATAGCTGGCTGTTGTGGTGGGCGCCTGTAGTCCCAGCTACTTGGGAGTGTGAGGCAAGAGAATTGCCTAGGCCCGAGAGCTGGAGGTTGCTGTGGGCTATGACGCCACAGTACTCTACTGAGGGTGACAAAGTGAAACTCCGTCTCTAAAAAAAAATGATTATGATTATATGCAGATATGGCAAAAATAAAAAAGGAATATTTGAATGATTGAGTTTAGAAAACAATTTCCGTTCCCATTTAAACTTCAGGGCAGCAGGGGAATGTTATCACTTCCACATGGAGGACCAGAAAGGGGAGGGGACTGTTCCAAGGGTCACAGAGCCAGGGCTCGAATCAGGGGAGTTCAGGGCCATTTCCACCACAAGCCATGGGTTAAGAATATTGCAGCAAAGATAGCATCTTTCCCGGGATTAGGACAGGAACTAGATGGAAGACAGTCCCACACTTCTCTAGGAGAAACTGATGCAGAGACAGGGCCAAGATGCAGCCTTTGACCAGGGAAGGTATGCACCTCCTTCCCCTCTGTGGTCTGTGCATCTGGTCTACCCCCTAGTGATAGGCCATCTAGTTCTGTTCCTCTGTGTCTAGAATAATCATAATGGTGATGACTGCGATAAGAATGGTGACTTTTGGTATGTCTAATCGTGCTTGTCCTTGTGCATGCCCCAAGGCTCCATGAGAAGGGAATTTTCCAAGGGCACAGAGCTTGGAACTGAGCTGGGCTTTCTAACTCAAGAATCCAGGACCCTCATTTTTAACCTCTATGCTGGATGTCTCATCTCCTGACCACTTTACCAGACCTTTGGTTTGGGGACAAGGTCTAATCATTCTGCCTGTTCATTCAGTAAGCTCGGTCCCTCTTCTACATGCTGAGGGGACAAGGGCCTGAACCTGATGTAGTCTTTGCCCAAGAGGAGCACAGTCAGGATGAGGCAGAGGAAAATGCCCCTGGCAGGGTGGGTGGGCAAGTGGGACGAGAGAGAGCCCAAGAAAGGACACCCTTGAACTTAGAGGACAAAGGGGTTCCCAGCCTCCCAGAGAGCCGAGAAAGCTCCCTGGAGGAGGAGGTAGAGTGCAGAGGGCACTTCTCCCGGGCTTCTAGGTCCAGAAACTCTTCCTCTGAGTGGCATATATGGGAGGGCTCATCTCAACCGCTGTCTCCTTTCAAAGAGGGCCTTCCCAAGGAGAGGGCCTTCCTGAGGAGAGGGCCTTCCTGAGGAGAGGGGCCTGTGGCGCTGCTATTCCACTCACCTCACAAGAGCCCCCTTCACACTCAGGCTCTCTGGTCAGGAGATGAAGGGGAGGCTACCCTGGAGTCCCGGGTTCTACCTCTCACCAGGCTTTCTGCACCTGTCATGCCAGGTGGTGGTTGAATCTTACCTGGCGGCTGGCTCAGTGGTGGCCATTGGCAGCATGGGGGCAGCTCCGGGGTAGAGAGACTCTTTCCGCTTCTGCACTTCCTATGTCTTCAGGAAATGTCGCTAGGCTGGGGGGGAACCTCTGTCTTCTGTTGGGAAGCTCTGGGGAGGTGTGGGTGAAGGGGAGGCTGGGGAGGAGAAAATAAACAGTGTCTGGGTTTTCTCGGCAGGAGGCCTCCCTGGGCTCCTTCCTTATATGGCCTGGCTGCCCTGGGCTGGGAGCCTGCGACGCTGTGCTCCCCCACCCTCCACCACCACTCAGAGGGCTAGGGGCTGCTGCTGGTCACCTAGGACCCTGCTGCCACCGAGACTGAGGCAGGGTCAAGGTAGAGGGCAGGACCCAGGACATGCTGGCAACCACCCATACCTGGTCCCCTTTTCCTAGCTGCTGGGCTTCAAGGGCAGGATTTGCATTGAGATGAGAGACTGAGAGGGGAAGAGGTCCACCCAGAGAGGCAGGTCCCCCCAGCCCTGACTTAGTTTCTCACTCACAGTGTGACTCTGGCCAAGCCTTTCCCTCTCTGGGCCTCTGTTTCTCTCTCTGTCAAAAGAGGGTATGGAAAATAATAATTAATCTCAGAGTTAGTCCTATGAGCTCTTATATCGCCATTTTGTAGAAGGGAAAACAGGCTTGGGGAGGCCACCTCTCTCCTGTGACAAGGGAGCAAGCCAGGCAGGAGTGAACTCAGGCTGTCTGGCGTCAGGGTCTGGGTTCCGACTGCTAAAACTCCTCTTGGTAATATGCAGTCATTTCCATGAGCCTTAAGGGATTCTGCTGGAGCTGCTGTCCTAGAAGATCCAGGGGCCAGTGACCCAGGCCAAAGGAGACAGTTCAATTAAGCCCTGAGGGTGGGAGCTATAAATCATTCACCATGGAGTCCCCAGAACATCACACAGGCCTGGTAGACTCAGGGCTCAGGAAGCGATGTGACATCGCCAAACAAATAAGCCTCAGTAACCACATTCTCTAAATCCCAGGTATATTCTGAGGATGACACAAAACTATGCATGGGAAAGCCCTGAATGCCACCTTTAAAATGGCATTGTTGGCTCGGTGCCTATAGCACAGTGGTTACAGTGCTGGCCACATGCACTGAGGCTGGCAGGTTTGAGTGCTGGGCCAGCTAAACAATGATAACTGCAACAAAAAAATAGCCAGGCGGTGTCATGGGTGCCTGTAGTCCCAGCTACTTGGGAGGCTGAGGCAAGAGAATCACTTAAGCCCAAGAGTTTGAGGTTGCTGTGAGCTGTGACACCATAGCGATCTACTGAGGGAAACAAAGTGAGACTCTGTCTCAAAAATAAAACAAATAAAATGGCACTGTCTTTCTGTTCCTGAGTTCCTTCTTCCTCCCAATGTGCCTACCTGTGTCTCCTCCCCAGGCCAATGTCTCCTGAACTGAACACTCCTGGGGCAGTTCAGCTGTGGGCCTGAGAGATGAAGGGTGAGTCTGTGTGGGGGCTGGGCTCTGGGCTGTGGTTGAAGCCTCAGTCTGGGCCCAAGTCCCAGCCCGGCAGCAATGGCCATCTAGAGGCTGCAGGAGGGGAGGGTGCAAGGAGAGGTGGGGGTTGCTGGGAATAGCTCAGAAATATGCCTCGAACAAGCACTAACATCCTGTGTGCTCTTGAGCTAGTTCTGAACCTCCCTCACTCCATCCATCATTGTGGCATCCTCTCAGACCCCAGATCCCTTCCTGGGGCTCATGAGTGGGGTGAGGGGGCCAAGGAGTGACTGTCAGCGTGGCCGAGAGACTGCAGCTGGCAGCTCTGTGGGCCTGCTTAGTGTCGGAGCTGGACAGTCGCAGGGAGGAGGCGCCTGCAGCCCTCCTAATCCAATTTGTTCAGACCCAGTCTCTGTGGCCCATTTGCTAGTGAGCGAGGACCGGGTGTGCGCTGTGCTGTGGTGCACGTTTGCATACATGAGTGGGGTGTGCAGAGGTGGACAGGTGGACTTTGTTATGTAAGACAGGCCTGGGCCTTGTCCGATGTCCCCGAATGTCAGCTCCTTCCGGGAGCCCTGTCTCCATCTCTCTTCCCCTCTGCTCACCTCTACATCTTCCTCTGCTTTTTCCATCCACATGAGACCTGGTGCCAGAATTCCCCTCTGCAACTGGCTATGCAACTTCCAGTGAGTTTCTTCACCTCTCTGGGCCTCAGTGTCCCTGTGTGTCTTATGAGCCAATACTTCACCCTGCCTGATGCACTGTGAGCATGAAAGTGCTATTTATTTATTGTTTCTTTTTTTTTTGAGATGGAGTCTCATTTTGTCGCCCTAAGTAGAGTGCAGTAGAGTCACAGCTCACAGCAACCTCAAACTCTTGGGCTCAAGTGATTCTCTCTTTTTTATTGAGATACAATCTCACTTGCCCTTGGTAGAGTGCTGTGGCATCACAGCTCACAGTAACCTTAATCTCTTGGGCTTAAGCAATTCTCTTCCCTTAGCTTCCCAAGTAGTTGGGACTACAGGCGCCCACCACAATGCCCGACTATTATTATTATAATTATTTTTTGTTGTATTTGTCGTTGTTTAGCAGGCCTGGGCTAGATTCAAATTCACCAGCTCCCCTGTATGTGGCTGGTGTCCTAGTTGCTGAGCTACAGGTGCTGAGCCTCCAGCTATTCTCTTGTTTCAGTCTCCGGAGTAGCTGCGACTACAGGCGTCCGCCACGCCTGGCTATTTTTTTTAGAGATGAGGTCTCACTATGGCTCAGGCTGGTCTCAAACTCCTGAGCTCAGGCAATCCACCTGTCTTGGCCTCCCAGAGTGCTAGGATTACAGGTGCAAGCCACCACGCCTGGTCAAATGTTAGCAGGTGGCCAGGAGCAGTGGGTCATGCCTGTAATCCTAGCACTCTGGGAGGCTGAGGCAGGGGGACCGTTTGCGCTCACAAGTTCAAGACCAGCCTGAGGAAGAGTGAGACCCCATTTCTCAAAAGAGCCAGGCCTTGTGGTGGGCACCTACAGTCCCAGCTACTTGGGAGGCTGAGGCAAGACATCATTTGAGCCCAAGAATTTGAGGTTGCTGTGAGCTATGACGCCATGGCACTCTATCAAGGGTGACAAAGTGAGACTCTGTCTCAAAAAAAAAAAAAATTGGCAGGTGTGGGGAGAATGTGATAAATGGTAAAAACTGCCCTCCCCCCCTTTTTTTTTTGTAGAGACAAAGTCTCACTTTTTTGCCCTGGGTAGAGTGTAGTGGAGTCACTCCAGCAACCTCCAACTCCTAGGCTTAGGTAATTCTTCTGCCTCAGCCTCCCAAGGCGCTGGGACTACAGACGCCTGCCACAACGCCCGGCTATTTTTTGTTGCAGTTTGGCCGGGGCTGGGTTTGAACCCACCACCCTCAGTATATGGGGCCGGCGTCCTACTCACTGAGCCACAGGTGCCTCCCCCAAACTGCCCCTTTTATCTTGAGCTTCACTGCATGCTAAGTGCTGCACATAAAGACACAGGTCCAACTTCACCACCCCTCCAAAAGCCCTGTGATGGGAGAGGTTGGATGTTGCACGGATGCTGTGTAGGGCATGGGCTGGGTTCTTGGCTCCGGGTTGCTTTTCCCTCCTTTGGTTCCACAGCTTTTCACATGTGATCAAGACCTCACATTCCTGAAGTGCCCAGACCCCTGCAGGGGCCTTCCTTTGCCCAAGGCCTATTCTGGTTCTTTTATTTCTAAGGCTTGGTATCTTGGTCCTTCTGAGTGCTGGGGTAGGGAATTTATACTGAGGACCCAGGTGGTCTCAGGGGCTATCTGAAGGTAGGATAGGGGTGGGGAATGGTGTGGGTGCAGGGGATGGAAGTGCTTACAGTTCTGTTTCCAGAGCCACATGTCGCTTGCTCTCCTCTGTCCCCAGGAGGCTGGCTCATTGGGTGCTTGCTTTCTGACATCAGGTGGTAGGGAAGGCTCCTGCCAGCCAGTGCCCTTGCCTGAAAGGAACAAAGATCCCACTTGTCAGGAGGATGTGGGGTACCCTGCAGCCACAGCCCTAGCCTTTAAGGGTCCTGACCTGGCTGCCAAAGATTAAAGATGGGTGTAGACCACTGCTGGACACTGTTTCTGTATAATTAGACACCTCAGACTGAACCTACCAGGATCTTCCAGGCCTCAAAGAGCCTTCCCATTGGACCTTCGGTAGTCATTACCCTTGCTTTGCCTGCCTGGCTTTCAAAGAGGATCTTCTGAGAAACACCAGGAGGAAGGTCCTTTGCCTTCCCAGCATACCCAAGCCCCATCAGCAGAAGAACTGGTCAGGAAGGAAATTTCCCTCTGACCAATGCCCCCCACTTCACATATAAGACAGGAGGCATTTAGGGTTGAATCAAAACCTGGACTAACATGGTGACCAAAACCAAGGGGACTGCCTGTGACCTCTTCCAGCTGCTGAGGCTTTCAGCTCCCTCTCAGAACTCGGAACTCTCACAGACACTGCCAACGTAGGAAGAGTTTTTCCCCTTATTGAAATTCAAAGGAGATGTGCCATTTGCCCTGGTCGTCTGCTAGCCCGTAGGTAGCATCAGAGGCAGACTTGAAGGCAGGCTCTTCATGCTCGGTCTGGCTGCTTCTTGAGCCTGGGCAGCAGCAGCTGAACAACCATGAGACAAAGCTCACATCAGCATGGTTATTGCAAAAGCCCCTGTGCCCTCTCTGGCCTGGCTCATTTCCAAGAAACACAAGGGGCTGGGAATGGGCCATATTTGTGAGCCAGAGGGCTGAGGCCAGGACTTCAAGCAGGCTCACAAACCCATCCTTCTATACCCACCCCCGGTCCTCAGCCTACTCACCCGTGGGCACTTATGATAGCCTTTGCTCTCCTGGGGTTCCAGGGCCCTAGAGTTTCTACCAATTTTTTTTTTTTTTTTTGAGACAGAGTCTTATTTTGTCACCCTCGGTAGAATGCCGTGGCGTCGCAGCTCACAGCAACCTCCAGCTCTTGGGCTAGGGCGATTCTCTTGCCTCAGCCTCCCAAGTTGCTGGGACTACAGCCGCCCACCACAACACCTGGCTATTTTTGTTGCAATTGCCACTGCTATTTTAGCTGGCCAGGGCTGGGTTCGAACCTGTCACCCTCGGTATATGGGGCTGGCGCCTTACCCAGTGAGCCACAGGTGCCACCCTCTGCCATGTTTTGGAAGGAAAGGAAGACACAGGCCCTGGAGTCACGCAGACCTGCATCTGAATCTTGCCTCTAGCACTTACTAGCTGCCCCATCTACAGCCAGTGCCTTCACCTTGCTCAGCCTGTTTCCAACCTCACAGGCTCATTTGTGGGTCAAATGAGGCAGATGTCAAGTATAAGCACAGTTCTGGACACATAGTAAGCCCACAGTAAATGGTTGCAAATTCCATTATTAGCTTCCCCTGGACCCACAGAGAGGCCCAGCTGTGGTGGGAAGAGCAGAGGCAAAGAGGACAAGGGCAAAGGAACAAGGAGGCATCCAGAGAAGATATGGAGGCTGGCTGTGGGGGCCACCATGTGGGCCCTTTCCATGTCCCCTCTGTTGCATGGTTTCTCTGGGCCTCTGTCCCTAGTGTGCCCTCCTGTGACACCCCAGCTGAGTTCACCAGCCTCTCACGCTCTCCATTTCCTCCCCAGGGAAGGTTGCTCTGGGGACTTCTGAGCAAGCCCTGGGAATGAAATTTGAGGCTGAAACCAGGGCCATGAAGGGAAAAGGGAAGAGAGGGAAGGAAAAGGGGCTGCAGATTTGCCTGGCCTAGAAGCCCAAGCCTCTCCTTGAGAGCTCAGGGCCTGTGGGCAGGGGGCAGATGGGGGTCCCTAAGACTCCCTCCATCACCGGCCCTTCAGTAAGAGCAGGGACTGGGAAGGGGTTGGTGGTAAGAGCTTTCACCTAGCCATTTACTGCATACCAGGCCCACTGGGACATGTGGTAGTTGTAACAATAGCTCACGTATCCTTGGTGCTGATGCACCCTACCCTGGCTAAGTGCCTTATCTCACGCTGGTCCTCAGTCACTTTTGAGTTAGAAACAATTCTTATCCTCCTTTTACAGAGGTCATAACAGCCCCCAAGGTCACATGGTTAGTAAGCATCAAGGTCAGAATTGGCTTCAGGCATTTTTTAGCCCCCCTGTAAGACTAGGCTATTCATCTCCTCATTTTTATGGAGTGATAACCTGAATTGGCATCTGGTAGCAGGTGTATTAGTCCTCGTGGAGAGGGGTCATGAAGAGTAAAGGCCCCTTACCAGGGCCATGTGTCACCAGATGCCAGGGGCTTCTCGTTTTGATGGTATTTCTCCCTTTTGTGCTATCTTTGTTAAAAAGCCACATATTCTATATGGAGTTGGTTCTCCCTTCTGTCCTGTCTGCTTTGTAAAGAGCAGGGACCTCCAGGATCCCAGGGGCTTTTCTGGAACTGGGCAATGGTTTCTGGCTAGGCTAGGCACTGGGCTAGGCACTAGGGCTCTTGTTGATATGCTGGATGGCTGTAAACAAGAGTCTTCCCCTCTCTGGGCCTCAAGGACCCACATTTGCATGATCAGTGGGGACAGGACTAGCCTCAATGGTCCCCAGGGTCCTCCTAGGACTGACTCCATCCCATCCCCAGGTGAAAGTGTGAGTGGATGAATGGTCTGCATGGATCTCTATCGGGTGAGAGGAATTTGTGCAAGGGGTAAGGATGGAGCTCTCCCTTGGACTCTCTCTGCCCTGTCCCACTCCACTCCTCATTGCTCAGCCCAGAGCAAGCCATAGTGACCAAGGCCCAGGTGGATTTTCTGCACCAGGACTTGAAGTCTCGGTACATCAGAGCCAGAAGCACCCTAATCTCGTACCCACTGTTCAGATGAGGAAACTGAGATATGGAGAGAAACTACAAACTCAGAGTGATGCAGCTGATCAGAGGCCCAGCTGGATTCCAGCAAGTGTCCTGACCTCTTCTGCTCGCAGAGGGATCATGATCAGCCAAATAGTAACAAAGGGGCCCCCAGAGGAAGGTGGGAACGAAGAGAACCTTTAAGTTCCTTTGGCTTTGAAGATGGAATAATCATGACTTCCTTCTCCAAATATCTTTTGGCCCTTCCTAGAACCAGATGGCGGATGTTTGGAATTTATGTTGTAAATAGTTTAAGAAGGGGTGGGGGTGCAGATGTGTTACTTTCTCCAACCACCAGAAACGAGATCTGAGGGAGGAAAGTGGGGGAGGGAAGCTGACTCTGAAAAGATTTTGGGAGAAGCAGGAAGTGAGGGGGAAGGAAGAGAGACAAGAGATGTGAGGTGGGAGGAGAGGGAAACAGGGAAGAGGGATTGATGGAGGGAGGGTTGGAACAAGACAGAGAGGAGCAGAGGGAAGGAGGAGAGCTGTTGAAGAACAGGATAGAGAAGGATGGGGAGGGGGCTTCCAGGGTGCAGACACAGAGCAGCTCCATCTTGAGTTCAGGAGCAAACCCTTGAGTTTTCTAAAAATAGCTCAGCCTTTCCCCCAGCGGGGCTGGCAGCAGGGACCAAGAGAGGCACGCTTGCCCTTTTATGGTAAGAAAAAATTCAGATCCTCAGAGGGGGAGCTGAGCTGGAGCCTGTCATTCTGGATGAAGCCCATCATTCTGGATGAAGCCCAGTGCCGGGGTCTGGGGTGGAACAGGGCCCATGGCAGCACAGACTTGGTGGGGTTTCCTGGCCCAGATAGCCTCACCCGTTGGGAAGAAAGTGCTGAGATGGTTGTCCATGGGGCCACACAGGAGAGCCCCAGGGTCCTGGTGGGTCCTTGGTGTTAGGGCAAAAGGGGCTCCTAGAGACCTCTGACCCATCCACTTCTCTGTTTTATGGAAGAAACTGAGTCTGAGACAGGGGAGGAGACTACAGGCTCCTCAGCGGGGGTGTAAGCCGTTAAGCTAAAATGATGCCTGGACCACAGAGGGGTACCCATGTGCCTGTTGTTCTGGAGGGCAGCATGGTCAGTGGGAAAGCCCTGGCTTGGGAGGCAGGAGGCCTGTGGCCCACTCCCAGTTTGGCGTGTGACCTTAAGTAACTGGCTGACCCTCTCTGATCTCAGCTTTTCTCACTGGGATGACCTACAGGGCCTTCCCAGCTTCTTGTCTCTCTGAGAATTTCGAAGCTGTCAAGTGAAGGGCACACAAAGAAGCTGCTACCAAGTGGAGGGGAACCTGTGGGCTGCTGCTTTCCTCCTGTGCCTGGCTCACTTTCTGCCTAGAGCTGGATAGGTAAAATCTGAAATGGACCAAAACAAGGGAGAGGGATGCCCTGTAGGACATTGGTGGCAGATCATACATGGAACACCTGCTGTCCAGCTGGTTGGGTCTAGCCCCTCAGTGGACACACTGAAGCCATAGGAGGCATCACACTCAAGGTCATATGAAGAATGGGGCAAAGCCAGGAAAAGAACCCAGGGCTTCCCTTCCCAGCCTTGAGTGCTTTTCTTTGCAGGAGGCCTCCCATATACAGCTGCTGACAGCTTTGGGGACCATCTTGGACCATGTAAAGGGACTTCCTATGCACAGCAGCCAGAATTCAAGATAGGTTATGTGTCCTAGCTACCTCTTGGCCACAGTTACATGTGGCTGGGCCTTTGCCTCTCCTCTGTCCCCTGCCCTTGATGTAAAGGGCATACTATAGTCTCCATCTTTGGCTAGAAGGCAGGGAAGAGGCAATGTGGCTGCTCTGGCAGTGTGATCGTGGGCACAGTGTGATCGTCTCTCCCTATCACTGGGCCTGTTTCTGCGTCTGTAACACGAGATAGGCCTCAATGCTCTTTAAGGTCCTTTCAGCTCTAAAAGGACTATGATGCTTGGAATTTAGGAGTTTACCTACCAAGGTCACCAGGGTGAACGAGATAAATGTAGTAAAATTCTGCAGATCGGTAGTCAGAGGAAGATGGGCACTGATTACCCAAGGCCCTGAAGGCACCTCTCCCCACATCCTCAGATCCTTCTGTCTGTATCTAGGAAACCCTGG